GCCCCTCTGGTCCCTGCTCAGAGTCCGAACCCTGCCCAGGGTCCTCCACATCTTCCAGAGCCAACTCATAGGGTCCCTCACTATCGGAGTCTGTTTGCAGCTCCAATGGCTCCTGCTGGGCCACAACAGTTATCATAGTTGCAGTGTCCTAGGGTCATGTGATTCCCTTTTGTGACCTTCCGACAAGCAAAGTCAATGGTGAAACCAGATTCACCTAACAACTGTGTAACTAACTTAACAACTGCAGTGATTCACTTAACTATGACAAGAAAGGTTGTAAAATGGGGCAAATTCACTTAACTGTCTCGCTTAGCAAAATAAATGTTGAGCTCAATTGTGGTCATAAGTCAAGGACTATTTGTATATAATTTTAAATACAGTAATAGGTATTACAAAAGAACAGCTAATGTCTACAAGTGATAGACAAAAGCTAAATCCAGGCTGTTAGAACAATGTGCCATTGATGCTGAAAGAGATTTGTATTAAATCTGCTTACATTGAATGAATGCTTCAAAGCACAGCCAAAAAAGTAAAAGTACATTCCATTATTCTTTGCATGTACCAACAGGTCAATAATCTCTTCCCCCATGCCAGTGCACTGCAGTTGCCTCTGAGTTTTTCTGTTGAAAACAGTCTAATCTTCTCATAAGCTTAAAAGTTAATCTCTCCAAAACAATGCATTCTCTTTCATTCCCACATTCGTGTTTATTCAACAAATAGCACTGCATTTCTAAAAGAGAAGGCTTCTGTAAAAGCCTAAATTCAACAAATTAAATCATGTAAATTATGGTCATTCACTTTTGAAGCTTGTACAGAAAATCACCAGTATATTGTTGCATCATCTTTGAGTTTATCTATAGTGACCCGTTGGCTGTCAGCAGAGCTAGCAGCAGAGTCAGATGAGGAGGAAGTCGAGGGAGAGCCTGGGCCAGCTTAGAAACAGCATCGAAACAGAGGCAGAGCTGGGGCCTTCCATCCTCCCCCAGGTAGAGAGGCAGCTGTCTTCGGGGCCTGAGCTGAGTGAGGGGGAGGAACAGATGGGGGCCATAGGTGGGCTGCTAATTTTTTTACTACCGGTTTTGGCACGCTCCCGCACACGCGATGCTTCTGCGCATGCACAGAAGCGTCCAAGCGGATGGGCGGAGCCTCCTGCTCCCACTATCTGGGCCGAACCGGCAGCAACCTACCCCATGGAGCCCATCCCATATGCGTCTTCGTGCAGAGAGGAAAGGAGAGGAGAGCAAAGAAAAACAATAAGCCAGCTGTCAAGGAAAAGCAGATGTGGACACTATCCATCCCCCCCAGCTCGGAAATAAATAGTAGGCTTTGGGAGTGGCCAGTTGTTGCAGACAACCATTTGCTTTTAGGATACAGCAAGCTATTTGGAGTTCTAGGCCTGAACCAGGTCTGTTGGGACCAATTACATATGGTTTTTGTTTATCCACCTGACTGTTCCTACCCTGTTTGAAAAGGGGCTTGTTTTTGTTCATGAGTAAGCGGCTTATCATTACTTGCTAAGACTGGGTCAGAACATTATCTAGGCTCAGAAACTAAGCAGTGCCAGACTGTGTTAGAATGGGGGTTGGTGGGAGGCGTCCAAGAAATATTGGAGCTTTGAAATGGATTGGAGTCCCCAAATATCCCAGAGGAAGGCAATGACAATCTGTTTTTGTACTGTGGCCAAGAAGATAGCAGGGGCTGCAAAAATGTCCAGCTCAACCTGAAGGAGATTCTACTTTTTTTAGGAGTGTGACCATTAACAGACTGCTTATATGAAGTGCACGGTATATAATAATAGGCTATTTTCTTTCCTACTACAGAAAAAAATCCAAAACATGATTCTTTAAAAATGAAGTGTGATCAAATGCTATGCATATAATCAGGGAGTGGTTTGGCAGTACAGGTAATTCTTGATTTATGATCACAACTGGGACTCAAACTTCTGTTGCTAATTTATGTAGTTGTTAAATGAGTTGACCACTTTTGTTATGGTTGTTAAGTAAATATGACTTTCCCTGCTGACTTTGCTTGATAGAAACCAACTAGAAAAGGCACAAATGGCAATCACATAACCCTGGGACACTGCAACTGTCATAATGCATGCCAGTTGCCAAGCACCCAAATTTTAATCACATGATCCCAGGGATGCTGCAAAGGTCATTACATGAGGACTGGTTATAAATCATTAGTACTCTCATAATATTCAGCAGTTACTCTTAAGTTAAGAATTACCCATAATAGGTTTTTTTAAAATTTACCTTAAAGTTGTTAAAAATGGATGCCTTAAAATAAAAACATAAAATAAATGCTTCGAGGTGGAATAATACCTTCTAACTGCTGCTAATCAACAATGGTCCTCTACTCTGCCTTTTTCTCTTTACTGCATTTTCCAGTAAAATAATACAAGGAGCAGTGGAAAAAGTGGAAAGTTACAATAGGGTGATCCAATTATCTGCACATTTCATAAAATGTTGCATTTAATGCCTTATCTGGAAATTGAACCTGGACCTGGACCTGGATTCTAATCCTGTTCAGCCATAATGTGTACTGATTAGAACCTGAGTAGATTTGGCAGCATGGCTTAGTATAACCCAGGATTATGACAAATCTCAATGCAGCTCTGAACATTTGCAGATTGAAGAAATTATGCCAATGATCCTAACAAAACTAAATACATTTGTTTTTAATAAAGTTGGGGAAATATATAACATATATGCCCAGTGTATTACCTTATGGCGGCTTCCACAACATTCCTGGGAATAGTTGTTATATTTGTGAATGAATTTGTGACTACAAACCAAAATGATACCCGACTGGTAACATTGCACAGCAGTACATTAGAAATTCTGAGAATTAAAAACAAATAAACATTACTATAGTAAGTCTTCCCACAGACTCTTGAGACAACTACAAGGTTATGAGTTTTAGATGGAACATTATGATCTCACTTTCAAAGCACAAGCTTTAGAGAGAATGTTTTATTTTTTATTACCTGCCCCAGCTTTTACACCCTCCTTAGTACTGGCCATTCTGGGTGGGGAATTTTGGGAACCGAAGTTCATATAAATACAAAGTGTACTCAGACTGAAAAAGACTGAGCTATTGTAAGGAGAAGCGACTTGGGTAAGCCAGTAGACTCAATCTTCCCCAGGTAAATTATCTGAAGTTTCTTTTCCCTTCTATTGCTAAAATGCTTCTATTTTTTTCCATAAGGTATATGATCAAGGCAAGAACATGTGAATAGGACCTCAAGATTTACACTAGTTATATTGGATAGGAATCTCAGCTGATGCAGATTAATGGAATCAATATCATATGTTCATCACACTCATAGCATGCTTCTTGTTTAAAGAGTACAGGTAGTCCTTGACTTAAAACATTCATTTAGTGACTGTTCAAAGTTATAATGATCCTTAAAATGTGACTTATGACCATTTTTCACACTTACGACCATTGCAGCATCCCCATGGTCACGTGATCAAAATTCAGCTTCTTGGCAACTGACTCATATTTATGACACGGTTGCAGTGTTTTGGGGTCCCCCTTTTGTGACCTTCTGACAAGAAAAGTCAATAGGAAAACCAGGTTCACTTAACAACCTTGTGACTAACTTATCAATTGCAGTGATTCATTTAACAACTATTATAAGAAAGGTTGTAAAATGGGGCAAAACTCACTTAACAAATGTCTTGCTAGAGCAACAGAAATTTTGGGCTCATTGCGATCATAAGTTGAGGACTATCTGTAATTACCTCCAGTATGCAAGAGTATATGCTGCTCCTTAGTGACATCTTCTGGCTGATTACCAGCAAACCAAATGGTTTCAATCACAGTTTTCCATTTTTTTAAAAATGTGTGCCCGTGTATATAAATATGTACACAAATTTATAGAACACACATGCATATACATACATAGATGAACATGTGATTTACATAAAGGTCATTGTGTAGTCTACAGTCAGATACATTCGTATTTAATAATAAAGTCTTCAGTAATGATGATACTTGTCTGAGGTCCAAACATATACTATAAATTCATGAGGTTACATCTCTAAGCCAGTACTGTACAGTCAATTGTTACTCCGATAGTTTAAGTTTGTTAATGGAAATTTAATTAACATACGCTATAAGACATAATATACTAATGTTCTAGATTAAGAATTTATCATATTGATGCAAAGGATTGTTCTGCTTTTGCAATGCAATCCAGATTGAACTTTATCTTGAATCCTAAAGCAAAAATCGCTATGCTAAATTGGAGTTTCATATTAAGATTACATAGTATGAAATCATTGCTAATTTGGGAAATTTGTGACATTTGTTTGGAAAATGTTAATTACAATCAACAGTAACAGAGTTATTCTGCATAGTAACTATAAGATATATTTGCATTTAGGGAGTGAATGAAAATTCACACATGCATACAAACATATTATGTATACACAGTGATGTGCAGTGAAGCTTATGGCTGGTGAGGCAAAAAGAAAAAAAACGGCTTGACAGTGGGCAAAAAGAGATTTAAAGGAGGAGAAGCTACTGGGAGGGGTAGGGCCGGTGCGGGGAGAAGGACCAGTAGACGATGCGGCGCTGCACAGGCTCCGGGATGAGCTCGAACCGCGCCTCCACCTGCTGGAAGGGCCACTTCTCTGCCACACGCTGCACCAACATGTCCAGCAGGGACTCCGAGCTCTGTGTCTTGCCCAAGGGCAGCACTCTGAACGCGGCATAAGCTGCGGCCAGGGCAGAGGGGTAAGCAGCGGCAGCGGAGGAAGTGGCAGTGGCGGCCGATGAAGTTCCTGTAACACATGTGCTCCGCCGCCACCGATGCT